CTGTTTCCCATCTACTAATGAGCCCCAAAGATGGGGATTTTCACCTCGGTGACAATAATTTTTTGATTTTTTTCCCTATTTCCTGGTTCTTTTTATTCTCTTAGAGTTTCCATCTCTCTACATACATTATTCATCTGTTCTGCAATATGTCTACATTTATCATTTAAGTCCTTAGCATATCAGTTACAGTTTTAAAAATTCGTAGGTCTCTATGTTTTTGAGATCCTGTGCCCTTGGACTGTGAAGTTTAGCAATGCTTTTCAATTTTCCCCCTTTTGGCAGGTCATGAGTGAAGCTGGGTTGCTCACTGCAGGAAAGCCAGGTTCAAAGGTCTCCTGAAGAAGGTTGTGCTAAGTGGAAATGCTCTGGCACATCACTCCTTTCCGGGACACTCTGGGAACTGTGGAGCTCCCCCAAGACAGCACAGGACTGTTTCTGTGACTGGTGTTCCCATTGTTAAATCTCAGAGGTGTCACCTTGAGCACCCATCAAGGTGTGTGCCACCACTACTCCCCCCCCCCCCCCCCCCCGCCTGAGCAGCAACTTCTAAGTTCCTTACATGCCAGACAAAAGCCCAGGAATGGCTACCCACTACACAGAAGCCCAGCAGCAACTTCTAGGTTCCTTACATGCCAGACAAAAACCCAGAAGCCCCATCTGCTCAGGATAGAAACTTGCCAAAAAATATGTTATTTATTGTAAACAAACACATACTACTTATAGCAAAGGGAAAGAAACACACACACACACACACACACACACACACACACACACCTTTACATACAATTCCTATCTCTGTGAAGTGTGAGTCTGAGGCTTCTAAGGTCTTTTGGGAAATTGTTTGTCAGTTCTGCCCATGCTTCACAATGGCTTTGAAACTGGTGCTTGTTACCTTCTGACCACAAGACAGCTGCTGCCATCTCAGACATCACGTCCAAGTTCACGGCAGGAAGAAGGAAGCAACATACGCTCCATCTAGCTTCTTTGTTAAGAAATCCGTCTCACTCAGGTCAGCTGGACCGGGTCTGTGCAGGGGTGTGTGCCTCAGCTACTCAGAACTGAGGGAAACAGGCCTGTGCGTGAGAATGGGGCAGGGAGGGGAGGGTGGAGCAAGCTGCCGGGTTTGGCAATCCTACCTGACTTTGGGATATTTGAAAACATTATTAACCAGTCTTTGGCAGTACCGATTATTCTTTCTCTACAGACAAGACTTGGGTTGCATCTAAGCTTTCGAGTTTAATGCAACTCTGTTGGATCTGAGTGATCACTCAAAATCTGTACCTGAATAATGATCCCTGGAGTCAAAACTGAGAAAGACGCCGGGCGGTGGTGGCGCACGCCTTTCATCCCAGCACTCAGGAGGCAGAGCCAGGTGGATCTCTGTGAGTTCGAGGCCAGCCTGGGCTACCAAGTGAGTTCCAGGAAAGGCGCAAAGCTACACAGAGAAACCCTGTCTCG